AATGAAGTGCTCCCCTCTGTAACATGCTTTCCCATTAAACTACGTTGTCGATTTATCATTAATTTGCTTGCATGGATGCTGTGCAACGTTGAGGCGGATTAGGGTTTACGATCCGCTCGAGTTTGAGCCTAAAGACAAGTCCGTTGTTTCGCTCTGCAGTTTTTTGGAAACGTGGGGCGTGTGGGGGGGTTTGCGCGCATCGCTGCGCCTCGGTTGGTCAACCGGGCGTGGCTCTCAAAGCAGACTGTGGGGAACGGATCGTCACTCCCAGTGAGATCGGACTGTCATGCCCCGCTGTCCAGTAGCAAGTTGTGTACGACGCGGCCGTTGATCAACATGGCGAGTTTCGAACCTTTGATATCAATGCAAGGCGAGCGGTGGAAACCGGCGCTTCGGTCACTGGCAAGTACTGGGCAGGTGGCTGAGAAGCGCACCTAAGTTCAGGTTCTCTGGATCATAAAGATCCTAAGAGGCTTTGAGTCCTCGAAGTGGTTTCCCCATCTTGAACGGCACGTCGTGCTCAGAGTTGCGGTGGTCCGCAATCTGCACACTCGGCGCGTATATCATGCCCAGACGCTGAGGTGCGTCCTCTGGCAACTCATCGAACCCTGCGGGCACATCAAGTGCAGTGTCGATGGGTTGCAGAGGTGTTGGTGCGTCCGTCTGGACTGATACAGCCTCATTCTGGACGAGTTCCGGCCCTACGGCAAGTGCTGGTTTAGGCGCAGCGTGAATAGGCTCCAAAGGAGCGGCCGTAGTGGGCGCGGTCTCAAGGACCGGCTCCACGTTCGTTGGCATAGTCAACATTCCTGGCAGCGGGCGAACCGGCGCGTCCAGAAAGTCCTTAGGAAGGAAACTCGACGGCATAAGCGACAGCGGGCCGCGCAGCCTCTCATCCTTAGTCACGGTCCGTCACCGCTCCGTCTAGTGAGACTAGTGTGAACGGGCGCCACGTTGACGACTGGCACGTGCGCACACCGTTTGGCTATAAGTGTGGAGTCAATCCGAGCACTGTACCCGTTCGGGTTGTTGTGATGAGCGTTCCAGAGCGCCTGAAGCTGTGCAAGCGAAAGCTGAGTCTCATCTGAGTTGTCATAGGCCGCAGCGACTGGCGCAGCGGCCCTGGCAGAGGCACTTTGAGCGCGCGGCAACCTGCCGGCCTGGAGCGTCTTGCACTCGGCAGTGTCGTGGGAGTCCGTCTTATGGAACGTACACCACTTCTTGGAGGTGCCTGACTTGGCCAACTCAGCGCGCTTGCGAGCGCACCTGTTGGCATAGTGACTTGGCTCTTCGCAATGATAGCATATGGGCTCCGAGTCAGCCGAGGGTTTTGGCTGGGTGATGGCAGAGCCCCCCTTAACTACAGCAGGTGACCGGCAGTCCCTTGCAATGTGCCCGTACTTGAGGCACTTGTGACACTCAAGTGCCTGTTGCTTCTGGCTCGGTCCATAACTCGGAGGCGCGGCAAGCACGGTAGGTGCGCGAACCATGGAGCGGGACGGGGCTGCGGCGTGCATGGTCGCCGGCCATAAGTTGGCTTGGGTCGTAGCTTGATCAATCTTGATAGCTATCCGTCCCACGAGCTCAACCGTCCAGTTCGAAGTCTCCAAGCTAGTTGTCAGGAACTGGCGATGGACTTCCTTCCCTAGCTCAGTCCGCCTAGTCGCGGCTATGAGCTTGAACACGGCCATCTCTTTGGGCCGGTCGAGTGCGTGCATGAGCGTCTGCGTACGCTGCACCAAGCTAGCAACCGTCTCGTTCGGTCGCATAGCAAAATCCCGGAATTCTTCCATCCGAGTGGTCGACTTCTCTGGATATAATTTCTCCATCATAGTCCAAAATTGCTCAACGGGTTTGTCATGAGTTTACCTCGTCATCCACATGCACTGCGGGTGCCTGCGGCTCAGTCGCGGCGGCTTTTTCGTCAGCCGGCAAGGCGTCATGGTCGGCCTTGGCTTTGTTATATGCGGCGCGGTCGCGGATGTACTGCTCCGACTTAGCAGCATTCCAAGCGCGAAGTTCGTTTCTCATGCGGCGCTCAAGGTCGGCAACCTAATCGCGTGCCCCCCCGGCCAAATACTTCATGAGGAAGTTGTACATGTCATTCTCATTCGAAACCACGGTTGGTTTCAACCTAAGCTCCGACTTAAGTGTGTTGTAATTCAGGCGCAAGTGCAATATGCTTGGCCCGTTCGGGTCACCCGTAAAGAGTCCCGTTCCATGCTGCATAGTTAGGATCGACATGCTGTTGGAATCGTCTACCTCAAAACACACAACGGCGGAAGATGTTCGAATTGCATCAGACTAAGTTTGCGTCTGTAGATGTGCATGCACAGTCGATTGTGATGACAAATGAGGCGAAACGTTACTTGATTCGGCAAGACTTCGACTCTCTTCAATTGCTTGAATGAGGTCAATGTCTTCGTCTCCAACTTCGCTCACAATTTCTCTATGTGGAAAGCTGGGTCCAGAGCGAAGTCTATTCTGCCACATATATAGTACAACTCCTCTCGCTAAGAACCACCACTTCAATGGTACCCTTATACTCGTCTATCTCCTTGGGTTCCTTGGGTTGAAGTCACGGTTGCGACCGTTTCCCCCCCCCCACGTCCAAAGCCACGGCCGCCGCCGTTCTGGGCGTGAAAACCTGCGCAAGGGATAAGGCGCGTCAGTCCTGATGCTTAGGACACATGTCAAGTCGTTGGCACGGTTTAGAGTCTTACAAGGTTCTCCTCGGAGGCACCCTGTAGAATACAAGTGTGAAAACACTTGCAAAATTAGTCGCTGTGAGAGCACTAGCCGAGCTTAACCAATCCGTCTACAAAGATCCCGGAACTTTGCAAGTACAAAAAGGCCCCCTTAAGGCAGCCTCGCAGTGTCAGAAGAAAGTAGCACAGTCCCTTTGAAGGGCCTGGCTGTCACAACTCGTAGCACAGCGCCTCTTCTAAGGGCCCGACTTTCCCTCTTGTCACCAAAACTACAAGTGTCTGACACACTTCAACAATTACCACTGTACGAGTGGGTAATGCTGTCTAGACGGCGGCCCTCGCTGAAAGGACTCAACGACCCGTCCTAACAAACAATGATGGTCTAGGACAAACTTCCTGAGGAGGCTCCACACTTGGTGAGGCCTTCCAAGGCAAGAATAGTCACCCAGACCCTTGCAAACGAGCGGGAGGCTATCGCGCTATATAGAAAGACATGAAGCATGCCCCGCAAAAGGCCTACAGCGGACCAAGCACCGAGAGCAGCGCATTGTACCTAGTCTGCGAATTTGCAACTATGGGCCCCTTGCCAACACACAAACACTCATGCGCAAGCCTAGCAAGTCACTTGTCAGCAAGCATGCCTCCCGGCAATTGCATGTCGAGGCAATGTCCTACTCGAAGCTCAAGAGCACTGACGTCACTACAACATGATCGCAAGCAAGCAGGAATGGAGCCGAAGAGGGATGCAGTGCAAGAGAGAGACAAGGCAAGCAGGACAAAAGTGGTGCTGACCTAGAAACGGCGCGGGGGCAGTGGGAGTCGACGGCGCGCCCAGGGAGTAGCCCAGCGCCTGCAGGTGCTGCTTACTAGCGATGATAGCTCTTGGGTCAGTGGCCACACGTCCTTGCGCCGGTGGTGGGGCGAAGGCGGGTGCGGCGCGCGTCGGGTGGTGGACGTTGAGGTGCTCCCTGCAGCAGTCGAGGGCGAGGCGTAAGGCAAACTGAAAGTTGGCGCGCACCCCCGCAAACAAGTAGGCAAGGTCAATATCTATCCACCACCCAATCTTGGTCAAGAAATGCTAACCCTTGGTTAACCTGAAACTAATTTTTCTAACCTGATTTTCTACGACAGTTTTGAGTCAAAACAGGTCCTAGAAACAACAAGCGAGAGCGCAGAAAACCTAAGCAAAATGGAAGCAAAGCATACCCACGTGTCCAAGAGGCCCCCCTTCACTTGGAAACCATGTTTGGTTTGAAGGCGATGCGCATAAGTTGAAATTTTAACCACTGTCCTAACCAGACCTAGACCCAAACAGTCCTGGCACTCAATACAGCGCAATGATAGAACCGGACGATGCACCCTCCAAGCAGCCCCCAATGCGTTCAGCAGCTGAGACACATCAAGCAGGCCCTATTGCACCCTCAGTTAGAGTCCAGCGCAAAGAAAACACCCAGCAGCGATTCGTCGAGCTCGAGAGACATATACTCGCCTTTGAATGCAACTCCCTGCAGCAATTTGTTAGCAAACAAACAGCGTATGCAAGCAAGATTTCAATGCAAGAGCAGCAAGTACACAGCAATGCAACCCTTCTCACAGCATTCTGTGATGGCTCCAACCTCGCAATTCTATCCGTAGTAGAAGTGCCTACCCCAAGCAATCACAAGCAACGCAAGCTGGATTGAGAGGATTTTCAAAGCACAAGTGAGATTGCTACAGTGATTTCAGCTCCCCGCTCAAGTTCCGGTTAGGAATTCACCAAAACACACAACCACAAGCACAATGTGACCCGGGGTTGCCGGCGTCTCCAAGCAAGAGCTAGCTAGCGAAAGGTGACAAGCAAGCGTAATCGGGTTACCTTGGCTGTCCCTGTGAGCTGCTCTCTGCTCCCTTGAGCGGTCTGCAACGTACGAGCTCCTCCCCGAGCTCGAAACCGGGCTGGTGGTAGCCCTGGCAGCTAAGGAACAGTGTTGTTCCTTGTGGCTGGCTTTCGCAGTGGTCTTCTGAAGCTTCTGCAACTCCTCCGTGTACCTGCCTGCGGAACTTAGAGCAAGTACAAAAGTACTTGACACAGGCTGAGGCGAGTGGAGCGAGACAAGCGTGAAGAAGATGATGGCTAAGTCGGATCAGTGTCAAGAGCGTAGGGCGGCTCTATCAACGAAACGTCGAAAGTCCAATTCCCAACTTGCACTAAGTTGGAGAATGAGCGTCTGTTCGCAAGGTTTATAGGCTACGGCGGAATTTGCTAGCCTATATTCAAAAGTCTAGTCTCTAAGGGTCTACGTCGATCTAGAAGTCTGCTCAAGGTCTAATCGAAGTACAAACTACCCCTAGTGGTGCGAACAATAAGGCGGAGTTGATGGCGCCTTAAACGAAAATAGAATGTCGATCCTCGTATATGATTCGGTCGGCGGCATATGCGCTGCGGAGTCGCGCGAACGCGGTAAAAATAGGATGCGGATGTACCGCGTAACAGGCCCAGGTGAGTGCGGATGGTACGCAACACAGGGTAGGTGCCGCAGCGGAAATATGGCAAACGTGCCGGGGCCCGGTTGTTTGTACCGAGTGCGGTACTTGCGATGCGCGCAAGTGCTCATGGTACTAAGCGCATACCCCGGCCGTTACTGGCGGCTATGGTGTAAATAGATGCACGGCAATCTTATGTGGGGACCCCTCTGGAATAGGCGAGCCCCAAGTGGGGTCTAACTAGGATGGGCGGCCAAGTGGCGGCATCTAGCAACTAGCATGAACATATAGCTTTATAGCCGAACCTTCACGGCAACGACGGCACACGGCATGACAGGACTGCGGCCCTTCACATGTGGCATTTCAAGTCTGCATACAAGCGGCGGCTGGCTGTTTAAGGAGCGGCACCGACCACGCCGTCCTTGTGACGGCTACACATATTTGACTAGCCGTCCACGGACGCGCTTGCACTTGAAATCCCTGCTACCAATGGCGCTTGCACCGGGTATTGCTCGCATTGGGCTGGACACGCACGACTTCAAAATTGCGGAGCCCCTATTTGAGAATATGCTTATTCGTATGCGTGTTCCGATGGACGGCAATTGCCTGTTTTACTCGTTGCTAGTTGCTTCTAATCAAACTGTTAACGACCTCTGAAGCTCGAGGCGGCTGTTGCTTTTTATGTGAGTTCACATTGGGAAGCTGTCTTCCTAGGGTCTTGACGTGGACTTATCCAAAGCTCGTCAACGACGTTCAAATCACGAGAGGCGTCTTCTTCCCTTACGGCTGCCTCGTATGCTACATTCCACAGTCTGGAACTTGGGGAAGCATGATTGAAGTTCGCGAGGTTTCGATCATTTGGCAGGTTCCCGACATTTGCAGGAACGTTGAAGGCAACCTTTCTCCTGGACTTTTTGGTTTCATTTCGGGTATCCCGCCTTTGAACATCGTGTATTCAAATGGAAACCATTATGATGCTGTTCTGTCTAGTGTAGTGGACAACGCTGGCTTGGTGTTTGCATGTGGTAGACTACACGAGCGCGTTGCGGCTGCTACTTCTTTTGCTGTCAGAGAACGTGTCGACGTCGATGCGCCGGCTATAGATGAGAGCGGGGAGGGTATGGACTTGGACGGCCCGTCTACTACCGAAGTGCGAGCCTGTGGACGACTCGCCTTGCTAGCAACGCGGGCAAATCGCCTTCTTGTCGTGCTTCGCCGCGAACCTGCGACAAGGCAGCTCCGTTCATTCCCTGGACACCTCCGCATTACCGTCAGTAATGGGGAGTGCGCCATGCTCATAAGAAGTGGAGAGTACGCCCTCGGTTCGGCAAGTTTAGGACCCGTCTTACAATCCCCATCGATTGTTCCAACAATTAGGAACAATTATTGTGCTTACTACTACCGTCTTCAATGTTTGAGTCATCTTATGTCGAATCAATTTGGAACCTTCGCGGCGCCATTTTTCTTTGAGCAGAATTCTCTAAATGCAGCTTATCGTGAAACTCTTGATGGTTTTGCCAATGCACTTTTTCAAGGGAGCATTTTAGTTTTTGTTGAGGAAGAGTTGCACCGGCTACTAAAGCAGTCCGTAAGTAACGGCAAAGGTCTAGCCCGAGAGACTGTTGCTTTCCAAGGCGTTTCTAAGGAGAAAGCGCCGGAGA